AGATGGCTCAGCAGTTAAGAGCACTGACTGCTCTTGCAGAGGACCCAGGTTTAATTCCCAGTACCCACATGGCAGCTATGAACCGTCCTTAACTCCAGTTCCAGGAGAATCTGAAGCCCCCTTCTGACCTCTGCGGCACTGCATGACATGGGTGCACTCACATACATCCAGGCAATACACGCATACACACAAAATTAAAATAATAAATAAAATATTTTTAAAAAATTTAATTTAATATTTTTATTTTATGTGTATGCCTGTATTGCCCCCATGTAGGTAAGTGCACCCGTGTCATGCAATGCCCATGCAGGATAGAAAAGGCTGTCAGATCCCCTGGAACTGGAGTTATGGACAGTTGTTAACTCCCATGTGGGTTCTGGGATTCGAATCTGGGTCTTCTGCAAGAACATCCAGTGTTCTTAATTGCTGAGCCATTTCTCCAGCCCCATATTTTAATCCAATTTTAGTTTTTAAACTGGTAGTTGAGCTATGGACATACAATGTGTATAAATTTGTCAGACAATTATAAGTCACTTTCTCTTTTTTTTTTCTTTTTCTTGAGTCAAGGCCCCATACTATAACCCAGGCTGACCTGGAACTCACTATGGAGCCCAGGTTGATCTCAAAATCATGACAATCTTCCTGTCTCCACTTCCCAAGTGCTGGGATTATAGGTATGAATAACTAACTTTCTTCTATTCTTTTTTTTTGAAACAGGGTTTTACTATGTAACTCTGGCTGGCCTAGAACTCACTATGTAGACCAGGCTGGCCTTAAACTCAGAGATCAGCCTGTCTCTGCCAACTCAGTACTGGGATTAAATATGCCTGCCATCATGACTGGCCTTTCGTTTTTTGACAAAGACTCTATATGTAGCTCAGGCTGGTCTCAAACTCATAATCCTCCTGCCCCAAGTGCTAGAGTTACAAGTGTGTGGTACCAGACCTGGCTCAAAGAAATGAACTAAGGATAGTTTGTGTGCCTGCTCCTTTAGAAATATAATGTATTCCTTTACTCTTCCCCAAAATGTGCTTCTTACCTACTTCCTAATCAGTTTTATAAATCTAAGGCAAAAATTTAGGTCACTTGAAAATTTCAGATATAATTATTGAAGGCTCTTGGTGTATATATTT